CGTGCTTTCGCTCTGTCTCAAAAATAAATAAAAACATCAAAAAAATTAAAGATCAATAAAAACATTTCTGTGAATCTCTCTAACATTATACACATATAAAACACTTCACACACCCACATGCACACACATACAATAATAGCATGATGTGTTCACACCCATGCACATCCCGCATCACTATGACATCACTTGTGGCCCTCTGCTCCTGAAGGCTTAGGTAGCTCAGTCCAAATTCCAATTTTAGGGATTGAGACAAGCTCAAGGCTTCGGTCTGATGTCTCTACGTTTTGGGGGATTATTTGGATACATTGTTTTCCATTTCATGCTTCTTCATTATCATCTGTTGTCTCTCCAGGGTTATGTAGTACCTTGGCTTGCTGAACTTCACCTCCTTACAGGTGCATGCAAACTGCCATTCGTATTGACCGTTTGTGATTGTTTTGGGATGGAAGTTGTTGTGACTCCAGAGGGAGTCCTTGTGAAGGAAAACGTCACGGAGCATGATCCTTTTTTCCTCCTGGCTCCATTCATCTTCCTTCCTGTTTTAAAATAAGAAAATGTCCCCTTTGGATGCAGGATAGCAGTCCTACCCTTACCAGTGTTCCTTAAGGTCTCTGTTTTCTGTCTCAGGAACTTATCATGATATAGTTCTCAAAGAAGCAGCTCTCATTTTCCAAGAAATATTCTGAAACAAACACCATTTTTCCATGCTTTGCACATACTTATACATATACATGTATACATATACATTGAATATACGCACTTACTTCCCCAAAATGAGATCATACGACCAATATTCTATAGCATTTGTTTGCACCTGTCTTCTGTATTGGGGGCATCTCTTCTTGGCAGTAGCTATAACCCTTCACCAGGTTTTAGTGGACATATACTACCCTACTGAAAGGTAGGGTAGTGCACCCTCAGACTGTTTCCAGTATTTTGCTCTTATAAACTGTATCATGACGAACTTTCCTATAATTCTCAGCACAGCTTTCAATTACTTTGGAAACTCACTTAACTGATTTCTTCTTTTTTTTTTTTTTTCAACATTTATTTATTTTTGGGACAGAGAGAGACAGAGCATGAATGGGGGAGGGGCAGAGAGAGAGGGAGACACAGAATCGGAAACAGGCTCCAGGCTCTGAGCCATCAGCCCAGAGCCTGACGCGGGGCTCGAACTCACGGACCGCGAGATCGTGACCTGGCTGAAGTCGGACGCTTAACCGACTGCGCCACCCAGGCGCCCCTTAACTGATTTCTTCTTAACTAACTTGCTGAACTGTAAGATTTTACCCTCCGTTTATCTGTAAGCCATGTTACATACCTGCACACATGCACCTACCCACACACTGATAATGTTCAGGAGGCACTTGATTTTATGGAGTTTAATTGTTTTCATTAGAAATATATATATTTTTTCAGAGTCTATTGAGATCATCACATTTCATCTTGGACTTATTAACAGACATCCTAACGCATTTCTGTCTCATTGGAGGAATGAACCCCTACTTGAGTTAATGTTGCTAATGCGTTGCTGAATATGATTTGGAAATACTATCCTTATAGAAGATACTTGGATTTGTATTCGTAATTAAGAGTTCCCTCTAGTTTTCTTATATGCATACTTTCTTTGTTGGGTCTTGATATCAAAGTTATACTGTCTTTATAAAATAATTAGGGAGGCTTCCTTAGTTTCTTTAAAATAGTGTAGTTTAGAAATCACTTTTTTTCTTGAATACAGAAAAAAGTTTTTGGTCTTTGACATACTTCTCAATATTAATCATGCTTTATTTTTCAATTTAGATTTTTCTTCTTTGGGTCAGTTTTGGTGGAAAAAAAAGTATGCATATGCATAATTGGAAACCATTCTTTTTCCTAGATGTTTCAGAGTTCTGGTACAGAGATACAGTGACTGTGTTTATAATTCCTGTTTATTCTCAATTTTTTTCTTTTTCCTTCATGATTAAAGCAGTTGATATTTAGCTTATATTAAAAAAAAAAATTCCTGGCAGTGCCTGGGTGGCTCAGTCGGTTAAGTGTCTGACTTTGGCTCAGGTCCTGATCTCACGGTTCATGAGTTCGAGCGCTGCATCAGGCTCTGTGCTGACAGCTCAGAGCCTGGAGCCTGCTTCAGATTCTGTGTCTCCCTCTCTCTCTGCCCCTCCCCTGCTCATGCTCTGTCTCTCTCAAAAATAAATAATCATTAAAAAAAATCTTGACTTTGTGGATTAATTTTACCATTTTAATTTATTACATAGATCACATTTTCTATTTCTAATGAAGTTCTTTTTGGCTATTTATTTCTTTTTCCTATTTTACTTATATTTTTTGATGTTCTCTCTTACATTTTGAAAGGCTGTTTAATTAACACGTTTCACCCTGCTGCTTAGCAGTGGAAGTGGTTAATTTTTGAGTACAGTTTTGACCATAGACCACTGATTTTATTAGGTAACATTTCTGTTTTTGCTATTTACTAGATATTCTGTAATTCTGGTATTGATTTGTTACTGACTCAAAAATTATTAATGAGAGAGTTTAAATTATTAAGTGGCTGAGTTTTATTTTTGTTTCTACTTTTCTTGCTAATTTCTAGTTTTGTTACATTGTTGTCAGTGGGCTGTACCAACATGGGATATGCCATTTCTGTTTGCGGTAAATTTTTTTAAGTTTACTTATTTACTTTGGGAGAGTGTGAGCAGGACAAGGGTGGAAAGAGAGGGAGAGAGAGAGAATCCCCACCATCGCCGGTGCAGAGCCTGATGCAGGGCTCAAACTCACAAACCGTGAGATCAGACCTGAGCCCACATCTGACTCTTAACCGACTGAGCCACGCAGGTGCCCTGTGTTTGCAGCAAATTTAATGAAGGTTTTTTTCTGTGTGTGGCTTACTCTATGATTTTCTTTAATGTTTCATGGTTTATTAAAAGGGTTGATTTTTTACGTTGTAGCTTCTTCAAGAATCACCTTATCTCTAACATCTGTCCTTTAAAGAAAACATTTACTATCTTCAGGTTTAAAAACCAGAGGTAAAATTAAAAGAGTGAGTTAAATTTTAAACAAATGAGACTCTGTAAAGATTCAGAAACCTTACCCTATACCCCCCCCTCAGTGGCTGTTGTTGTAAGTCATGAACAGATATTCTAATGGGTTAAAATTAGAAATCCTGCTGAGCACATTGGACTCCTTATCCTTCTATGACACCGCATCCTTGACACTTGTCCCTAGCACTTGTCACTTGTGTGTGTGTGTGTGTGTGTGTGTGTGTGTGTGTGTGTGTAGATGATTGCTGGCTCTTGCTGGACCTCTGGCCCCAGAGCGAGAGAGGAGTCTAAGTAATTAAGTGCATCATTGTTTACTCTTTGTGCAAATGTCCTGCGGCTCTGTGCACAGAGCTCTTCTCCTACAGTTGTAAGAATAGACCTTCCTGTCTTTGCTGTCACTGTTTCTTTTCTTACTCTGAGGTCAGGTACCAACTTTTAGTTTATGTGACAGAAGTCTAACATTAATTATGCTCTCTCACCACAGGGGCTCTGAAACTTGCGTTCTTCAGACTGCTTCCTGGCACTAGCAGAGTTTAAATAGTGATTGTTGGGGCATCTGGGTGGCTCGGTCGGTTAAGCGTCCAACTTCGGCTCAGGTCATGATCTCACGGTCTGTGAGTTCGAGCCCCGCGTCGGGCTCTGTGCTGACAGGTCAGAGCCTGGAGCCCGTTTCAGATTCTGTGTCTCCCTCTCTCTCTCTGCCCCTCCCCTGTTCATGCTCTGTCTCTCCCTGTCTCAAAAATAAATAAACGCTAAAAAAAATTAAAAAAAAAAATAGTGATTGTTTTCTTATGGCGACATCTTTTTCCCATTAAATGCCCTATTCTGTTACCATCTCACTGACCCTTTGTAGACAATTGTAGTTTCTGAACAATCTCATGCATTAACCTAAAATATTCACCAGATTTGCTTTGAAAGAATGGCATGATTTTGAATCATTGGAAGTTTTAAATGGATTATGTACATTGGATTGAAGGAGATCCTCGAGGTCGCGTAGGAGTTTCATAGAAGATGGTTTCTTTTGTCAAAGGTGTGTCAGAAACAGTAGGTTAAACAGAGTTAGAACAGGCGATTTGACTGCATGTCAGAATCCTTCAGATGCATGGTGGTGGATCTTTTTTAAAGGAGAGGTGGAGATACAGGGGGAAAGCAGAAGTTTTCAGACTTACTAGTCATCTACCCTCCCATCCTTTTTTCCAGGTAACGTTTTAATTAATTGTATCTGTCTATGTCCCTATTACAGTTACCGAGTTGTATCTCCTAGTATTTTGTGCTCCATTTTCAGGAAAACCGGTGTGCTCTTAACTTCTTCATTATAGAGGTGAGAATGTTGAGCTCTAGGGAAATTAAATGATTTAATCTCCTGGCTAATTAAATGCAAAGAGTATTAGAGCCCAGGTGAGGCAACTCCCAGGACACTGGTTTTTCCATTATCCTTTATTATTTCCTCCCAATATGAAATGTAACTTTCTTCAAGATGTAGTCTTTCTAATGAGCTGTGTTTTTTTTCAGCCCCTATTAATAAATATCAATTCTTTAAAAAAAAAAATCTCATTTTTGTCCATGTAGGTGTGTCTATATATTTATGTTTTTTTTTTTTTTAAATTTTTTTTCCAACGTTTTTTATTTATTTTTGGGACAGAGAGAGACAGAGCATGAACGGGGGAGGGGCAGAGAGAGAGGGAGACACAGAATCGGAAACAGGCTCCAGGCTCCGAGCCATCAGCCCAGAGCCCGACGCGGGGCTCGAACTCACGCGAGATCACGCGAGATCTCGCGAGATCATGACCTGAGCCGAAGTCGGACGCTTAACCGACTCTGCCACCCAGGCGCCCCTATCTATTTATGTTTTAAGCCAAAGTATTTTCTTCTTGATCCACCATTTTAGGGCCACTAGCAACTTCCCTTGCATTTTAACCTGGAAAATCACATTAACTGTGAAGTCTGCTCTTTTTCTTGCAGCGGCTCTAATTAGAGGAAATCGTAAAAACTGTGCCCAGTTTTCTGGCTCCCTGGACTGGTTGATCAGCCGATTGGAAAGACTGGAAGCTTCTTCTGGTATGTTTTCCGATTATCTTCTTGTCATGACATGTCATTCCTGTTTCCTCCTGTTTTATGTCCTTTAAGACATAAAAGAAAATTGAAGATAAAACCAGAGCGTCGGTGCAATGTGTTTTCCTTTTAATAGGTTGAAGTTTTTACTTATTGATAAAATCGTTTTTTTTTTTTTAAGTTTATTTATTTTGAGAGAGAGAGAGAGAGAAAGAGAGAGTCAGCAGCAACAGCCAGGGAGGGGCAGAGAGAGAGGGAAAAAGAGAATCCCCAAATAGGCTCTGTGCTGTCAGCACACAGAACCCAACATGGGGCTCGATCTTGTGACCATCAGATCATGACCTGAGCTGACATCAGGAGTCGGACACTTAACCAGCTGAAACACCCAGGTGCTCCAGTCGTTGGTATTTTTCTTAGTTATTTCTGAAAAGCAATTTTACAATATCTTGTTCATTTACATTAAAAAAAAAAAACGAAGCCCTGAAAGCTTCTAAAGAGCCAGAATTCTCTTTCTTTTTCAAATCATTCATTCCAAATGTACTGTACAAACAAACAAAAAAAGTGGTTTGGAACTTCTATTTTTAGCTTGTGTTCAAAGGATTATTTGGACAGATTTGGAAAAAAATCAGTTTTCCAAATCACACAGCATAATATTTTATTTTAAAATGTTTCAGTAGGGGCGCCTGGGTGGCTCAGTCGGTTGAGTGTTTGACTTCGGCTCGGGTCATGATCTCACCGTTCATGAGTTCCAGCCCCGCCTCGGGCTCTGTGCTGACAGCTCAGAGCCTGGAGCCTGCTTTGGATTCTGTGTCTCCCTCTCTCTCTGCCCCTCCCTAATCTCTCTCTCTCTCTCTCTCTCTCTCTCTCTCTCTCTCTCAAATAAATAAACTTAAAAAAAATTTTAATGTTTCAGTAGATACTAATAAACTGTCTATATAATCATAAAATAGTTATAAGCACTCAACCTGATTTCTCCTTCTCTAACATAATAAGTATGTTATTCTTATTTTGGTGTTGTAGAAACTTAACTCTGATAACCAGGGCTTCCTGAACTTATCCAACACCACAGTTTGTATCAGCAACACCCCAGACTGAAATTGGTTGCTTCTTCCTCTCTCTGCACAGCATTTTATTAGCTGCCCTTCTATACCACTGATGCCCCTTTACGTTGCTTATTTTTTTTCTCTCAGTCTCCTACACTAGCCATGAACTCCTTGAAGCTATAGACATGATTTCATTCATCTTTGGGTTTACCATCCCATCTGGCACCTAGTAGATGTTTGACAGTTTTTATTAAACAAATGAAGAAATGAATGTACGAATGGATGTTTGGATTCACTTAAGAAGATACCTGTCAGTACAGAAACAATTTCATGACTCTTGCATAAGAAAGACCCACTCAAGGATAGGTTTGTTTGTTGGAATGGAATGAATAGAAGAACAGATGGTTGTGGTCAAAGGGGGTAATTTTAAGTCTCCGAGTGAAGTTTTAATGATGAAGATGTAGGAGGAAGAGAAATTTGAGTCACAGACTTTGAGTTTTAAGGCATTGCTGGATTCTTGGGTGGCAGATATAAAGAAGGAGATCATTGAGCTAAAGTAGGTGCAAGAATCGTAAATGAGATTTTTCATGGTATCACAGCACCAATGGCATGACTATGGACCAAGACAGAATATCTTGAATAAGGAGAGAACTGAATAACTCTCAGGAGTATGATCAATTGATGGTTAACAAGGTGATGGCATATTTTGGGGGGCCCCTGGGTGGCTCAGTTGGTTGAGCATCTGACTTTGGCTCAGGTCATGACCTCACAGTTGACAGGTTTGAGCCCCACATCGGGTTCTGTGCTGACAGCTCAGAGCCTGGACAGCCTGCTTCAGATTCTGCGTCTCCCTCTGTCTGTCCCTCCCCACTCATGCTCTGTCTCTATCTCAAAAATAAATAAACACTAAAAGAAAAAAAAAAAAGGTGATGGCATGATTGCATAAATGGATAGGTTCTTGGGTCAACATGTCCAGAATTGTTGTCAATCTTCAGTCGATACATAAAGGTATGCTGACCCCTTTTTCTAGCCATGTGGAGGATCTGGAAAGAGAGAGAGCCCAGCAACCTTCAGGACAGTATTAATGCTCAGGTCATGATCTCACAGTTCATGAGTTTGAGTCCTGCATCAGGCTCTGCGCTCACAGTGTGGAGCCTGCTTGGGATATTCTCTCTCTCTCTCTCTCTCTCTCTCTCTCTCTCTCTCTCACAAAATAAATAAATAAGCTTTTAAAACACACCCACACACACACGCACAGAAAAAAAAGTGCTCAGCAAAAAAGGAGAGAGACAAGAAAAGAACAGAATGGAGCATCCTTTAAACTGAGCTAAGTAGAGCCCAGTGTCTGGAGTCTTCTGTTTGGTTGTTTATAGGCACATTCCCACTGGATGCAAATCACTATTTGCTGTTGTCTTTGTCCAATCCAGCTGTTGGTCACAGGCATTTCCACTTCACGTAGAAGCCCCCATGCTCTCAGAAAGCACAGTGAAAGTCAGGAGTAGGAAGGACCCTTGGAAAATGCTGAACCTAACATGTCACCTTAAAGGAAAGGAAATTGAGGGGTGCCTGGGTGGCTCAGTCGGCTGAGCATCTGACTTTGGCTCAGGTCGTGATCATGGTTCGTGGTTTCGAGCCCTGTGTTGGGGTCTCTGCTGACAGCTCAGAGCCTGGAGCCTGCTTCAGATTCTGTGTCTCCCTTTCTCTCTACCCCTCCCCCACTTGCTCTCTCTCTCTCTGTCTCTCAAAAGTGAATAAATATTAAAAAAAATGCTCTCTCCCTCTATCTCTCCCTCTCTTTCAAAAATAAACATCAAAAAAATTAAGGGAAAGGAAATTGAGGCATAGAACATTTAAATGAATGATTGGAGATACTAGAATTAATTGTTACAGCAAAGATGAAACCCTAGCTCATAATCATACGTCAGACTTGAAGTATGTTCACTATGCTTTGTAGCCTCCTAGTTTGTACATCTCTGAAATATTTTTCACTAAAACAAATTTTCTCTACTGTCCTTACATTTATGCTTTTTATGAACTACTTTTTTTCTTAGAGAAGGTACAATGTTGCTTAGTTTTTAGAGACAGTAACAGTAACGATATGCATATCATTAGATCGTATCATATACACACATGCATAAGATACATTTATTTCATCCCTACGTAACTGTTTCCTGAGTGCTCATATATGCATCATCTTACTCTCGGAGACTGCTGAACATGATCACCTCAGCTGATCTGTTTCCACCTGCACTGCTGGTCTCTGTGTCTGTATGTGAACAGTAGAGCAGAGCGAGGGGTAACCCTAGGAACTTTAGGTTTCCTTTAGAAGAGGTCAGTGGACAGGGGTGCCTGGGCGGCCCAGTTGGTTGAGGGTCCAACTTTTGATTTTGGCTCAGGTCATGATCCCAGCGTCGTGGGATCAAGCCCCGTGTTGGGTTCCATGTTGAGAGTGGGGCCTGCTTAGGATTCTCTCTCCCACTCTGGCCCTGCTACCTCCCCAGAGCTCATGTGTGAGCATGCTCTCTCTCCTCTCTCTCTCTTTCCCCAAAAAAGTGGGAAAAAAGTCCAGTGGACAAAAGTCAAATTGGTACAGACTTAAATGGAAATCTGATGAAGATCTGAAAAGGCCAGCCAAAGATTGTGTTAATGAAGTACCTTTGTCTGGTACCACCAGACGCAGACCTTGAGAAAAGGACTGGAGGTTTATTTGGGAAGGGAGTCACCGTGAGACTCGGTAGAGAAGGGGTCAGAGAGGGTGTGTTGACAAGCGAGTTACCACCATGTGTAGCTGGAGCTTTTCCCTTGGGGAATTCTGGGAAACTGAGCCCTACAGTTCTCCCACCTGAGGGCTGAGACAAGATGTTTACAACCAACTTTTCTCTGTCACTGAGCAGTGGTGCTCCCAGGGGGTGTTAATTCTGTGGCTTTTCCAGCTGCCGCTGTGATCAGAGCAAATCCTCAGGCAAAGAAATGCAGAACTTGGCTGCTGGAATTTCACTGAATGCAGAGCGTGAGGGTTTGATCCGGGCCCTGGCAGTGTCTGCTCCCCAGCCAACCACTATTTACCTCCTTATATGTTAGCAAGGCTCAGAAAGAGCGGTGGACACAACCTCTTGTACACATTGTGCGCCATCAAAAGTTGACTAGTATCTCTAGTGCCTAAGGCTCTATCGGAGCATCGGTAAGAACAGCCACGATGAGTTTCCTGAGAGAACAAGAGATAAAGTAGACCTTTCCCCAGGCTTCATGTGTGACTATGTCTCTGGGCCAAATTTAATTGAAAAGATAAAAGATTTGCACGAGCAAGTCCAGTTGATTGAGTGGATGTATTTCTGAAGGCTGGGTTCTCCTTAGGATGTTCTTAGCACTTGGAACGCTATTTGGGAACTTCAAGGAATAGTTGACTGAAATGGTCTGCTGGTCAGGGGGCTGCATAGTTTCTCTGAGTCTTACTTTTGTACAGTGTATCCCACAGATAGCTTTGCAGGGATGAAAGTGGTCTTCTTTGAGATTCCTGCCCATTGTTCTCCACTCTGAGTAAGTCCCATGAAGGAAGGTCCCTCTGGGTTTCAGCAGAAGAAGGAATCTTTCAGGGGTCTTGAATTGCCTAAGCTTCATGCTCACGTACCATACAGCATGTGGTACCTAGGAATATGATAGTTTATTTTTTTAAGCTTATTTATTTATTTTGAGAGAGAGCGAGCTCGAGCATGTCAGCACAAGTGGAGGAGGGGCGCAGAGAGAAGGAGAGAGAGAATCCCAAGCGGGCTCCGTGCTGTCAGTGCAGAGCCCAACATGGGGCTCTATCTCAGGATCGTGACCTGAGCCGAAATCAAGAGTCGGATACTTAATGGACTGAGCCATCCAGGCGTCCCGAAATACAATAGTTTAAAGCTTCCAAAGATGTCACAATTATTTCTTGGAGAGCATAAGCTCATCATTTCTCAAAGGGAAAAATGTGTA